ATCTTTCCTCTCTGTAATATAAAACATGTTATTTAATGATAGACATCAAAACCATACAGCATTTATTTTTTAAATATTGTAAAATTATTCATGGAATAGGATGAATCCATGCTTACCTGGCAGTGGCAGATATACACATTCCAGAAAAATATTTGAACTGCTGTTGAAAACTAAGTGTCCAATGAACAATAAAGTTAGTATCTGATTGTCATTTGAATGAATGGCTTATTGGTATAATAATGGAATCATTCCTCGTCAACTAATAAATTCCAAAAGAGTCAGAGAGTTAGACATTTATTTTTAAAAAAGTCTAACACAGAAAAGTAAATAAAGGATTTGGCTCAGCTGTGAAGGAGAGAAATTTGTGATTTAAGAAATGAAACATATCATCAGAGATACTATGCATGTGTCTTAATATGTAAACATATGTTTTATATAATGAGACAATGAATATGTAAAATAAAGGAATGGGGAAAATATGTTTTGCATGATTGCTAAGAGCATACTATTCAAAATATAGAACTATTATAAATTCAAAGGGTGAAACTAAATTCTATCAAGAAACAGTTTTATCTGTTTAAAGTGAATTCTGGTGATTCATAACAAAAATTATAATACTATTATTCTCAATACTTCCCACTTTTCAGAAAATATTCCCAAATCTGGCATGTGAAGGAATAATTTTTTGTACATTGATCCTCCTAAGCAGTACTATTGTTTATGGTAGAGAAAAATTAGAAACAACAAACACACAGGGAAACAGCAATGGAATCATAACGTAACTCCATTTCGAGATTTAAGTGACATTTGTGTGTTGTGTTGAAAAATGGAGGTTTTATATAATACATCAGAGAGACACATCACAAAAGATTGTTGTTGGACATCTGTGTAAACACTTAATCAGAACAGAATACCTGGTCCTTGAATGGAACTCACAGGAATTCTGTTCCTTTCGTAACATTGCTTAAGTTTATAATTTTAAAAAGTATCCTTAAACTTCTTGAAAATTCAAGGGTAATTTTCTTTTCTGAATTGAGTTTTTTTCCTGATTTGGTCTTATAATAGATTTTATTTAGGAAATTATGTTATTTTTCCTAGATGGAGATCAGCCTCCATTTTCTGAGCCAAAATTCCCTACGGAATGCTTCTTTCTCACCCTGCACGCTCACCACCTCTCTATTCTGCCTAGTTGCCGTCGCTATATCCGCAGACTCCGGGCCATCCGGGAGCTTAATAGGTATGTGCCATGATACAATGTCCTGGGATTTACCTGAGTTACTACTTTTTCTCGTGGGCAGGCAGTTCCATTGTGATCAGCAGATTTGAATGTGGGGGGTCATATATTACAGCATCTGTCTGTCTCCTGTCCACATCCATGTTCCTGAGTTGTTCAAGTTCTTTACCTGGCAAAGTGGACCAAACCTTGATTTATGAGAGTTCTGAACCCTCGGTATTCCTGTATGTATGTGGTCACTACAGACTTCGACTGACTTTTTCCACTGGGCATGCATTACCAGGAGGCACTTTAAAGGATCCTCTTCTAAGATTTTCCTTTTATACATAATCACGTCTGTAAATGATGACAATTTTATTTCTTTCTTATAGTAAATTTTGTTGTCATTCATGTCTTAGTTCACTGGCTATAATTTCTAGTACAATGTTGAATAGAAGTAACCCTGAAATTTCTGTCTTGTTCCTGTTAATGGAGGACAGCTTTTTGTATATCTTCTGTTATCACATTAAGGAAATTACCTTTTATTTCTAGTTTACTAAAAGTTTTCAATTCTTAACAGGAGTTGAATTTTATTAAATGCTTTTTCCATATCTATTTAGTAGAGTAGATTTTTTTTCTCCTTTATTCTGTTAATGTGGTTGAATTACATCAATTCATTTTCTGATGTTAAACTAATATTTCATTCCTGGAATAAACTCAACTTTTATATTATTATTTTTATATCTTGTTGGCTATTCAACTTGCTGATATCCTGTCTAGGATTTTTGAATCTATTCTAAAGAAAGATTGACCTATACTTTTCATTTCTTAAGTGCTTCTCAGATTTTGGTATCAAGGTTATGCTGCTATAGAATGAACTGGGGAGGGTTTCCTTTTTTTATATTCTCTGGAAGTGTTTCTTGTATAAGAATTATGTTGTTTCTTCTTTAAATGTCTGGAAAAATTCAGTGATGAAGTTGTCACAGCTTAGAATTTCTATGTGGGAAGGTTTTTAATTGTGGATTTTATTCAATTAATAGATATAGGCCTATTTACACTTTTATTTCATCTTGTGTCAGTTTTCCCATGCTATCTTAAGTTCCAGAATTTTTAGGCATAAGGTTGTTCATAATATCCTCTTTTTATCATTTTAATGTCTATAGGATCTTTATTATTAATTCTGCTTTCTTTTAGCTTTGACTTGCTTTTTGTTGATGTTTCCATTGCCTCTTGAGACGGATACTTAAATCATTTTTTGGAAACAGAATCTTGGTCTATCGCCCAGGCTGGATTGCAGTGGCACAATCACAGCTCACTGCAACCTCAAACTCCCAGGCTCAAGCAATCCTCCTGCCTTAGCCTCCTGAGTAGCAGGGACTACAGACACAGGCCACCATACCTGGCTAATTTTTTTTTTTTTTTAGTTTTTGTAGAGACAGTTCTCACTATATTGCCCAGGCTATTCTGAAAGTCCTGGGCTCAAGCAGTCCTCCCACCTTGACCTCCCAAAGTGCTGGGATTGCAGACATGAGCCATCACGCCTGACCTTTCTTACATATGCATTTAAGACTATTTAGTTTCCCTCTAAGCATGGCTTTAGGTGCATCACTCGTATTTGGTACGTCATTATCTTATTGTTCAGTTCAAGATATTTTCTAATTTTTTTTTTTTCTTATTTGACCTATGGGTTATTTAAAAATATATTGTTTTAAATTCCAGATTCTTGGGGTATTTGTCTATTTTTCTTTTGTTACTGATTTCTAGCTAAATTCCATTATGGTCAAAAAATATATTGTGTGTGATTTGTGTCTTTTGAAATCTATTGAGACTTGCTTTATAACCTAAGATTTATGTTAGTAAATGTTCCTTATAGACCCGAAAAGAATGTACTTTCTGTATTGTCTGTTACAGTGTTCGATATGTGTCGTTTAGGTCAAGTCTGTTAAGTCTTTTGTTCAAGTTTTTCTTATATCTGTTGATTTTATCAATTTATAATATGAGTTATTGAAAGAGGCTTATAGAAATTACAGACCATGATGGTGGATTTTATCTGTTTCTTCATCCTAGGATGGATTGCCATCCTGGGATTCCCGTCACTCCCAGTGACCTAAGGGGTCCATTTCAGTGATACCATCTGCAGCCTTCGCTCCCAGCTTACAGTGGACAGCCGTTATTGTGCTTTTCAGAGTTACTGGTGTTCCCTCACCTGTGTATCTTTCAATGCTGTGATGCAAAAAGTACCATCTAGGACATAGTTAGGGGAGTTGGTGTATGTATCGGGAGGGGGATTATCTGAACAGATCACATACGGTAAATCTGTATTAGTATTCTGAGCTCCTTATGCTTTTAATTCCTTTCTCTGCATTATATCAAGGAATACCTGGTAGTTCAACTTCATTCAGCGTAAGTCACTATCAATTCCAAGTTTTGGTCAACTGGTTAGGCACACAATAAGAACCCCTCCCAACTATTCGAGATAATATGGAATCCAGAATCTCTGATGGGTATAATTTTGGTAGTGAATTTAGCCCTACAAAGAAGTATGTTAGCATTTTCCTCGCTTGCTGATCAAGAGAGGAATCTATTCCCACATATACTCCCACGTTTATGGCAGCACTTATGTGGGAGGTAGAACAATGACATCCCAAAGGTGTTACATCCAGTCCCCAGAACCTGTGGGTACATTACCTTCCATGGTCAAAGGGACTTTGCAGATGCGATTAGGTGAAGGATCTTGAGATGAGATTATCCTGGATTATGCTGGCGGGCCCAGCGTCATTACAGAGGTCCTTATAAGAGAGTCAGGAGTGTGTCATCATGAGAGAAGGAATGTCATGATGGAAGCAAAGGTCAGAGTGATCTGGGGTCACAAGGCAAAGAATGCAGGTAACCCTGGAATCCAGAAAAGGGAAGGAAACATATTCTCTCCTGGACCCTCCAGAAGGAAGCATCCCTGCTGACATGTTAGACTTCTGACCTCCAGAACTCTAAGACAGTGATTGTGTTGTTTCAAGCTGCTAAGTTTGTAGAACCTTGTTACAGCAGCAATAGAAAATTAATATAACATATAAGCAAATCTTGCCTTTTTTTCCCTTCAAATACATACTTCTGCATGTGACTTTGTAATTGGGCCTTCAGGACAGTCCTTGATCTGAGCCTAGTTGTGGTTCTGGAAGCAAAGAAGGATGATTGGGTAGAACCTAGGGGAAAGAGGCATTGCCCTGCAAGATGACCGCCTCAGATAAGATCACACAGAAGCTGCTTCTGCTAGCAAGCAACGCTCAGGGGGGTTAGAGATTTGGGTACTTGGAATTATCCAATTCTCCCAAACTCCTCCATTTGAACTCTTTGGGTCCCAGTCTTTACCCTCACTTTCAGATAAGAGGCCCAGTTATGAATTTAGCCTGTATTATGCTTTGGTAGTGTCGAGGACCAGACTCTATGGTATAGTCTTTGAAACTCCCTGGTCCATTGACTTTTCCTTCAGGTAAGAATTTCAAATCTTGAGACTGTCACTTTTTTTCTATAAGCTCTCCAACATAATTAGAAGTAGCCACTCCATCTCTTCATTCTAGGAGATCACAGGGGATCATTTACATAGCTGTTTTTCCACTCAGAGCCTTGGGCTACCAGTAGTCCATCCTCAAATGCTCACTGATCTTCACCACTTTCAGACAGCCCAGTTGAAGAACTGATCCCAGAAGCCCATTTTTTCACGAGGGTGCATTACCTATAAACTCGCTTTGTGCCAGTAACTGTATAGGTCGTTATATTAGTTTCTAACTGCTACTGCAACAAATCACCACAACCTTAGTGACTTAAAACAGCACAAATTATTATCTGTTCTGGAGGTCAGAAGTCCTAAAATCAAGGTTACATTCCTTCTAGAGGCTTTAGAGGAGAATCTCTTTCCTTGCATTTTTCAGCTTCTGGAAGCCACCTGCATTCCTTGGCTCATGGCCCCCTTACTCCATCTTCAAAGCCAGCAGCACAGCATCTTCAGATCTCTCTCTGACCTCTGCTGTCATTGTCACATCTCCTCCTCTGACTCTGACTCCCTGTTTCTCTCAGAAGGACCTTTGTGATTATATTGGGTCTACCCAAAATCCAGTATAATCTTCCCATCTGAAGGTCCATGTCCTTAGTCACATCTGCGAAGTACCTTTTGCCATGTAAAGTCACATATTCACAGGTTCCATCCAAGGATCAGGATGTGACATCTTGGGGGCATCTTCTATCTGCCATACTCATGTTTCAGTTGTAGACAAAGAATCCAGTTTATCTGGGATAAGTAGAAAGAGGATTGTTGTAGGGTGTTGGTTGGTCCGTTGGATCACTGGAATGGTGGAATAGAGGACTCCCAGAGTGGACTGTGAACCTGGTCTGACAAGGAAGCTGCTGCAGGGCTCAGCTGACAGTAGAGTCTCTGCCCGAACTTCAGCCAAAACCCCTCCACTGTGCGTGTGTCAAGAGTCACGCAACTGACACCCGATAATATTCACCTTGCCTTCAGTGAGGGTTCATCTCTTGGAGAAAGCTAGGGCTTACAGAAATGCTGGCAGCAAGGGAGTCTGGGGAATGTTGTTTTCAGAGATTTAGCAGCTTCTACTCTTCTACAAAATGTCTTAACGGAAAGGGATTAGAATAGTACTAAATGAGCTGGTCTTTAATATGTGCGGTATATAGGAGCTCAGGGAAGACTATACCTCACTGACGTGTGACATTTGAGCAGACACCTCAGGGAAGTGAAAAAGCAAGCCACAAAGATAACCTCAGAGAAGAGCTTTCCAAGCAGGGGGAACAAAAATTGTAAAAGAAAAAAAAAAGGAAATGCCTTTAGTAAAATAGCCTTTCGTTTTGAGTAATTGAATAGGCATAGTAACCTTGAATTTTCTTGAGAGACTTCTTTCCCCATCCCAGAAAAATAAGGGAACAATGTACTTCCTTCCAAAAAAGGTTACCATATTTCATCAAATCTGAAGTGCTCTCAATTTTAAGACACTTAATTATTTTAGGTACCAATAAGAAGAAAATGCTGCCAGTTAAACCATAACTTGCCATTGATTTTAAGATAGACTCTGATGTTGAAGATGCTACAGTGTGAAAAGTAATCGCGTCCGAGAGTCAGTGAAATGCAGAATGAATCGGTCGGATGGATCCAGCTGTTTGCCTTCATTTGACTGTTAGTCTTTGATTTCAGAACTGTAGAAGATTTGAAAAATAATGAAAGCCAATGGAAAGATTCCCCACTGGCAACTAGACACCGCGAGATGCTGAAGCGCTGTAAAACTCAGCTTAAGGTTTGTATAGCTAATTGGAATAATTATAGACCAGACTCATAATGGCCATTTTCCCACCGGAATATGTGCCTTGAGTGAGCAATTCAGTGTCCTTATTTTTTCTTCATTATTCTTTCCTCTTATTATAAAATAGTACATTTTAAAACTTGTTGATACCTTACATTTATCTGCATATAATTATGGAAATCCCAGGACAGGTGTGCATATGCCTGTGCAGTGACATCTGGAATTCCTAGTGGATTTTTGTCACTCTCAGTTTAGCACCCTCCCCCTCCCCTGCCTCCTGCAAGGTGCTCCTTACCTGCTGCCCTCTGGCTCCCGCCCCAGCGCACTGCATGTTCTCGTTGTATCCGTTCTCATATTTGACACAGTGGATCTGTGGTGGTAGAAAGATCTCTTTCCTTTGCCCTTCATCTTTTTTTTTATTTTTATTTTTTCTTTTTGAGACAGAGACTTGCTCTGTCACCCAGGCTAGAGTGCAGTGGTGTCGATCATAGCTCACTACAGCCTCAAATTCCTCAGCTCAAGTGATCTTCTTGCCTCAGCATCCTAAGTAGCTGGGACTATGGGCGTGCACCACCATGCCTGGCTGATTTTTTAAAATTTTTTGTAGAGGTGGGGTCTCACCATATTGCTCAGGCTGGTCTTGAATTCCTGGCCTCAAGCGATCCTCCCACCTCAGCCTGCTAAAGTGCTAGGTATACAGGCGTGAGCCACTGCACCCGGCCCCTCATTTTTCATTTTTAATTGAAAATGATCTGCTGCACAAAACCTGACAATACGTGGGAATATTCCTGCTGATGGGATGTGGCCAAAAACAAATGCTGGCTTATGTTCTACAAGAAAAGCATAAATGGCAAATGTATGCATTTTCCTTCTGTTTATGTTTCAATTATAAAGCTGAATGTGAGTTGGTCCTACTTTCTGCTGATCAGTAGGATGATATGTGGAAATTTTACCTGACTTAGATTTCTGGTACAAGTTAAGATTTCAGTTTTATCTACTAATAGACTAGATCTTAGATCTCTTCAAGATGTAAAGGAAATCAGGGGCCCTTATCTGGGGTCTGTGGACCCCTAGGCATTCTACAGATGTGTTTCAAGGAGATCATAAACTGCTTAAATCTGTATGTCAGGTGTGCATGCGTGTGTGTTCAGTTGTCTCAACAATCTTGAGGAAGGAATTACAACCCTGGTGGACATTTTATCTGAGGGCAGCTCGTAAGCAGTGATGCTGGAATTCAGAAGCAGATTGTCTGACTTTTTCCCACAAACCGTCCTGACCCCAAAGGGCTTCCCCGTCAACGCCCGCCCCCAATCAAGTTATTTACATATGACCGTAAGAACTAACCTTTTTGAACACTAACTGTGTGCTAGACTTTGTACCTAGTAGTTTGCTTGGCATGCCTCTTGTTTTTCTCAGGAAAAAGAAAGATCTTGAGACACAGCCTGCATCTTATAGCTAGTTAGAGATGGAGCTTTAGAAACTCTAGAACCTAGATTTCTCCTGGCCCTATTCCCTGCCCAGTCACACTACAGGGACTTAGCTACTGACCGATCTAAAGGTGGGGCTTACCTGCTTCCACAGAAACTGGTACGGTGCAAGGCCTGTGCTGACGCCGGCTTGCTTGACGAGAGCTTCCTGCGAAGATGTCTGAATTTTTATGGCCTTCTCATTCAGCTGTTACTCCGCATCCTGGACCCCGCATATCCCGAGTGAGTGTGCGCCTTCCTCTGTACCTCATCTCTGCTCAGCTGGGCTGCGCTGTCTTTACTGTTCTGTGAAGTCGATAACTAAAACCAAGACCCTTACCTTATCCAGATTCACTTCTGTTTCCAGGTTGCGTTTACTGTGACATTGGTTATATTAGTAGGTGTTTTCCCTGCAGTTACTTATAGTAATAGGTGAAAGTCGGCACCTATTATTTTAATTTCGACATAGGTTTTCTTAAAAATATGCTATAAAACCTTTGATAGGAAAGGAAATTTATAAATTGGTAGCTAAAAGCTGTAGAAACAGAGTATTAGGCCCTTCTAAGCACTGGGTCCAGGAAAATAACTATCTATTTTAGAGAGTGAGCTAAGTATATTGTTGATCACTTGTCACCAACTGGACATCTCCAGGCAGCCATTTTTATTTTATTTATCATTATTATTATTTTACTTTATTACAAAGTCTCTGAGTCACTGATTTTGGCAAAATTGGCCCAAGCCTTCCGCAAGAGTGGAAAAGGTTATTTAAAATACATGTATAGCTCTGTTGTCTCAAACAGTTTGAGTTGTCCAGAATGACCAAATATGACCTTTTTATTTCCTTCCCATTTTATTTATTGCATTAATGTTACTTAATAAGAAATCAAGAAAGGAAAAACATTTCACACACAGCCTAGCGTATGAACTACCTTCATTATTCCCTGTTCATTTCTGGCTGTGGTTTCTTTACCTATATACTTTTTATATGGTTGTCTTATAGAATGAGTTTTTTCCCCAGATAAAATACTTACTTAATGATAGTATAATATCCCTTGCAGTTTGCGCCGTGATTTCATTTTGTAAATTGTGCTTTTTTTCTCTTTGACAGTGTAACACTGCCTTTAAATTCAGATGTTCCCAAGGTATTTGCAGCGTTGCCTGAGTTTTATGTAGAAGATGTTGCTGAATTTTTATTTTTTATTGTACAGTAAGTGCCTTTAACACATTACATAGTTCTGGTGTTTTTATGCATAATATGTACATGATAATGAACTATAGCCAGCCTCATATTAAAAAAAAAAAAGATATTATGAACTATACTGCAAACCTCCATTTTATGCCTGAAATTTTATGTAACTGTTTTAACTGAATGCTGCCTAGAGACTGGAAAAAATAAATCCAACTGCGGCACCAGTCCAATTCCAATAATATCTCAAAGACAGAAGCAGGATTAACAGTGCAGATAATAATGTAGTCTGTGGAAATTAAGTTGGATTTCTAATAGTTGAGTATGTGTTTCTGAGAAACAGAAGGAACAAACAGTTTATAAATATCAGAATGAACGTCCAAAAGCCAGAAATAACCACATCTATATTTTGTACCATAATTTGTCTCAGTTGTAAAATTGGAAAAAGCTTACGAAGAAATGGTTTGAATTTATAACTGATACAGATTTTTCAAAATTTTTTTTCAAATCCTTATTTGGTTTATGAAATTCAGTAAATAAATGAAAAAATAAAATTTAGAAATTTTATTTCTAAAACATTACACATTATAAGAATTACAGTTGCATTTCCTTGGCACCATGATAACATTATTGTGGTAGTGTTGGCTAGATGAAGGAATGGTATATGAAGTCTATTTTAAAAAGTAAAAGTAGCGTAGGTTCACAATCACTGTTTCACAAAATACACATTGTGAAAGTTTTGTAACAAACAGAAAAATTCAAAATTAGTATTAATGTAAATGGCGTTTACATAAGAGCCAACATTAAATGGAGCAAGTTGTATTGCTGTCATAAAAGCTGCCTTTTAAAAAAGCTGAAATCAGTGGTAACACATGAATTTTGAATGGCGAAAAATTTAAAGGCTGACTAAAATCATGTTTCATTTGTTGAAAAAGTAGCCTTGGCACAGAAAAACAAATATCACACGTTCTTACTCATGTGGGAGCTAAACAAGTTGATCTCATAAAGGTAGAGAGTAAAATGATAGATGCCAGAGGCTGGGAAGGGTGGGTGGGAGGAGGGATGAAGGGAGGTAGGTTAAAGGGAGCAAGCATGATGTTAGATAAACGGTATCAATTCTATTGTTGGACAGCAAAGTAGAGTGACTATAGTTAACAACAAACAACGTATTGTATGTTTCAAAGTAGCTAGAAGAGAGAATTTGAATTGTTCCCAACAAGTAGAAATGAAAAATGCTCAAAGTGATGGATGCCTCAGATTCCTTGACTTTATCATTACACATTCTGTGCAGGTAACAAAATATCACATGTACCCCATAAATATGTAAAATATTATGTATTAAAAAAACCTTGGAATTTAAGCAACTCAAGTCACCTTTTAAAATTTGTTCTAAGCAGAGTAATTAAAAAAACATTTTTTGAAAATTTTTGTTTACACTTATTCTCATTTTCAGCAGTTCATTAAAATTAAAACAACTCCATCAAAGAAATTTTAAGTCTTTTGGTAGTAAAGATCTTTTGTGAAATGTACCTGTTTTAATCTTTGGTTTTTTTAAGCTTTGGTTTATTTTCTAAAACATCATAAGTTAATACAACATTCTACAGCCAATAAAGATGTTTGGTTTTGAATCTATGTAGTTATGATGTAAACAGTCACTTTAACGTCAGCAAATTAAAGGGCATTCAGCATCTTTGCACCTTGGCCTGTGTACCCAGCCTCGCTTCATGACAGCAGTCTTCACCCAGGCTGAGTTTCTCAGAGATTTATTTCTTGTTCTTCGTGCCTCCATTCAGATACTCTCCTCAGGTGCTTTACGAGCCCTGTACTCAGGATATTGTGATGTTCCTTGTTGTGATGTTGTGCAACCAGAACTACATCCGCAATCCGTATCTGGTGGCCAAACTGGTAGAAGTCATGTTTATGACCAACCCCGCTGTTCAGCCACGAACCCAGAAGTTTTTTGAAATGATTGAGAATCATCCTCTTGCCACCAAACTGTTGGTACCTTCGCTGATGAAGTTTTATACAGGTAGGTTCCTGGGTGTACATGGTGGTACCTGGTGGTCAGACATAGGCAAGGTGGTCTGAAGCCAGTGGACAAAGTCACTGGAAATCTGGTACCTAGTATCTTGACCTACTTATAAGTGTAACCTATTAGTCTACTGCCAGCAAAGCGTGTACTATTGACTATTTTCCCCTGAGTATAGGAGATATTACACTGACCATTCTACATGCTGGTCTCTGATTCAGCAGGATCCATTAAAAGTCAGATGATTAGCATTGAGACCCGGCTGGTATCAGCAGCACAAGTTGGTGTTATCTGAGTGAAATTACCTTGTTCATTTTAGCTTTCAACTTACAGCATTAGTTTTGTAACACTATTCTGTAACCCAGGCTTTCCAAAGTGTGGATAAAACAGGGAGCTTGTTAAAAATATTTACTCTTGGACTCTACTCAAACTAGGGGAATCAGAATTTCTGGGGGCCTCTGGGAGTCCTCACTCACTAATTTCAACACGTTTTTACTGAGCTCCTACCATGTGCCAGGCACCGTTCTAGGTGCTGGGTTACACTGGTGAAAACGACAGCTTTCTGCAGGGAGGTCCTCCTCTTCTGGTTAAATTGTATTCCAAATTTTCATTTCTAATTTGGCTTTGGAACTGTTATCCATGGGACCTGTTCACCTGTCCTCTAACAAAGGCATAAGATTCTACTAATGGAACATTTTCCTACTAGGCTGTATATTCCTCAGGAAAGGAAGTGTCTTGTCTGTCTTCTTATCTTCTGTTGAACCTAGTATATTCTGGGCGCTCAGTGAGTGTGTTTGGCCTTTAATACAATGTACTCACCGTGTTCTTATAAGAAACACTGGCCACCGAGAGCACAGTCCCTTGCTGTTCACAGTTGGAGGATTTCCGTGTTCAGTTGACCCTTCTCTGTCACCCAAGGTCTGCGTAAGCTTATTTTGGACCCATGCTGTCATCTCTTTCTTCACTTCTGAGGGTCCCACAAACCTGTCAACCTACTTTTCCTTTGTCATTATTATTTTGTGACATCTAATAAGAGTCTCTCCTTCCTCAGCCTATTCATACCCTCTGAAATATAAAGCAAGTACACGAGCCCTTTGAAGTTTTGTTAACATTCTTACTTTGGCAACAGCAGAGAACACTCCTGGAAAAAAGGCACCTCCTTGGGTAAAAGTCATTGGTTTTCATCTCAGAGCCCTACTAGGCGTCAAGCATGGGACATTCAGGTACAGATGGTGCATCATGCATGTACAGGATAGTACCTTGTGTGGTGCCTCACACATAGCTGGCTTGGTGGAATTGAAGATAATTCAGAATTTCTTAAAGTGATGATGAGGTACCACCTTCACATATTAAATTTATTTTTAAGCTGAAAATACCTAATGCTAACATGTAGTGCTAACTTACAGAGAAGTAAACCAACCTGCAAAAATTTGTTTAACCTACCCTGTAGCCAGTGTGCAAAATTAGTGCTAGGAAACTTTCAAGAGAATGTAAATGGATAAAATTTTTCTGGAAGGCAGTTTGGCAGTCCACATTAAAAGCTTTGTAAATGTTTATCAGTCAAGATCTACTCAGGAAAATAGAAACATACCAGTTATTTTAACAGAATTTTGGGGGTGCAGTGGCTCACTCCTGTAATCCTAGCACTTTGGTAGGCTGAGGCAGGTAGATTACTTGAGGCCAGGAGTTCAAGACCAGAGTGGGCAACATAACAAGACCCTAGCTCTACGAAATAAAAAAATTAGAATGAGAATTTAATATGAGGAACTGGTCAAATAGGTATTAGAAGACTGAAGCAGCAGCATCTATTCTTAGAGCTGGGGGAACCAAGGGAAGAGTCTGGGCTTAACCCAGCTGCTTTAATGAGGGCTTGGACAGAGTTAGGACCCAGAGCTCTGTGGAAGGCACTTAGCCAGCTAGTGCTGCTGTCTCCGAGGGTATGCAAGGTTGCTAGTTCTGGGGGTACAAGACAGACCTGGCAGTTTGAACCAACTGCTGCTGCTGGGCAGAAAACCATTGCTGGCAGCAACAGCAAGGAGTACCAGGTCCCTTGCCACACCTTCACTTGTCCAGTTCTCCTGCAGTGCACCCTGCTGGCAACCCTAACAGAGGGCTGGCTGGCAAAGGAAAACTCCGCAGAGTGCCCCAGAATCACAAAACCAGCTGAGAGACAACAGCTAAATAGCCAGCATACACACTGACATATAAATTTAATTTCTAGAAATTTATTCTATGGAAATAATTATAAATGTGCATAACTGTTCATGACAGTATTCACTGCAGCATTATTTATAATGCTGTGTAGTGAAAATAATGGAAACAACCTAAATTTCTGCCACTTGTGGATTAAGTTATAGTTTATATAGTGGACCTATATGAGCCATGAAAAATAACGTATTGTTTACAGTAAGTGGTTAAATAACAAAAAGTAAAGAAAATGCCAAGTAATGAAACAGTATGTCTACAGTTTTGGTACACATATATATGATAAAAAAAAGTAGGGAAGGACATATACCAAAATATAATATTAACAGTGAGATGGTTATTTTTGAACAGTAGAATTATGAATAGCTTTATTTCTTTTTTTTTTTAATCTGACCTTCTTAATTTTTCTGCAGTAAACATGTATTGTTGGTAGTAAAAACAAAAACAAAAAATTAATTAAATGTATTTCGTAGTCAGTTAGTGTCCTGGGCCTGTCAGTGTGGCTTCAAGATAAAGAGTGTGCGTGTGTGTGTGTGTGTGTGCGTGTGTGTGTGTGTGTCTGTGTGTCACACATGCGCATATGTTCACACATGAGAGCTGGGCCTCTTGCCTGTGAGACCAGTGCTGGGCCTGGTGGAGCCCCACTAGGAATGTTCCAGGAGCTGGTGGGTGGAGGTTATTCTCTCTTTCCCCCTTGCCGTGGAGCAGTGTGCCCTCTGGAGCACCTCTGTACTTAGGGGTAGAGGACACCTATACTAATAATAGCCACCACTCACTGAGTGCTTACTAATCCTCTCACTTAATCCCCCACAGCCGTTCTAAATGTGAGTGCTATAAATATCTCCACTTTACAAAGGAGGAAACCGGAGCTCGGAAGGGTCAAGAAGCCTGCTGAAGGTCAGCAGCTAGCAAGTGGCAGCGACCTTGGCCGTTGAGCTCTAGTGCAGATGCTCCTGATCGCTGTGCTGTTCTTCGTCCAGTTACCAAGGGCCTGGCAATGAGAGTGCCCTGCAGGGGGCATCATAGACACACCCTCAAGTGTTCACCAACTTCATGTGAAGACCTGCTAATTAGGTCCTGACCCCTAAACACGTCTGACTCACACGTGGATTAGAGTTGCCATATACCAGATCAGTATATGGAACAAGCTCCTCTTTTTTTTTTTTCTTTTTCTTTTTAAGAAACAGGGTCTTGCTATGTTGCCCAGACTGGTCTCTAACTCCTGGCTTCAAGTGATCCTCCTACCTTAGCCTTCGAAAGTGCTGGGACTACAGGCGTGAGCCACCATGCCTGACCTAAGCCCCTCATAAAGATAGTATTCTAGCTTAGAAAATGCTCAAGCTCAAATTTTTGTTTCAAAAATACAATTAAGTTTCAGGCTGGGCACAGTGGCTCACACCTGTAATCCTAGCACTCTGGGAGGCTGAGGCGGGGAGGATCACTTGAGGTCAGGAGTTTCAGACCAGCCTCAGCAAGAGTGAAGCCCAGTCTCTATTAAAAATAGAAAGAAATTAGCCAGGCAACTAAAAATAGAAAAAATTAGCCAGGTGTGGTGGTACATGCTTGTAGTCCTAGCTATTTGGGAGGCTGAGGCAGGAGGATGGCTTGAGCCCAGGAATTTGAGGTTGCTGTGAGCAAGGCTGATGCCACAGCACTCTAGCCTGGGCAACAGAGCAAGACTCTGTCTCAAAAAAAACAAAAACAAAAAAAGAATATCAACAAGTAAGATAGTAAGATTTTCATGAACCAACTGCAGGGTTTTACCCAGGTTTTGCTTCATGAGGTCCCAGGCTCAAAACTAGCCTGAGTTTAAATATAACTCACATGGCAGTTAATGTGTTAAATCAACTCTCCACACTTTATTTTTTTTTTTTTTGAGGACAGAGTCTCACTCTTTTTCCCAGGCTAGAGTGCTGTGGCATCAGCCTAGCTCACAGCAACCTCA